ACTTTCGGGGCAGCTTAAGACAGTAAAAAGCTTTTTTTTTTCTTCTACTGTTAGTGTTGCAAAATCTACAAAGGTAAAAAAGATGTGTATATACAGGTACATATACGTACCTGCATATATATTCTAAATACATATTTTAAAATTTAAAAGTTTAATATAGTATATATACATGTAACATAAAAAAATATATACTATGTACCTACGTATAATATAAAGCTTATCTTCTTCTTCTTTTTAATACGGAATATTACTTCTCTTTGTACGTGACACTTTTTTGACAAGAATTACCTCATTATTGTATTTCTTTTTTCTTTTCTCACTTATAATGTGGTTAATTTCTAACATTTTTATTTTGTTATTTATTTGTTGTTCTGATTGCTGTTATCGTTATTATTGTTCGTATCATCGTGTGAAAAACAGTCAGTTGAACTTTTTTCCTGCCCATTGATTTTAAGTGACGAGGAATATCCACACGATGAATCTTACTTGAAAAAAAAAATAAAGAGTTAAAAGAAGGAAGGAAAAAAGGGCTCTGAAACAACAATTGCAGAAAAAGAACGTTCCCTTCACTTTTTTTTTTCTGGTGGATTTAGTGTGTTCCTCTAATGTATATTTATTTTTTTGTTGTGGAAGCTGCTGTCACTGTGGTTGTTATTGGCGGCAACAGCGCTGGCGATAGTTCGCAGACGCAACGTTTGTTTGACTCTTTCGATGGCTTTCTTCGATTTTTCTACCGTTTCCCACAGCATTGATATATCAACGCGGAAATTCACTGCGACTGCTGCTTTCAATAGCACAGCGTCTGTCTGTATGCTTAATGTGTGTAAGGGCGAAGTAAAAAAAAAGACTGGTGGAATAGTTCCAATGCAGATTTTTGAAACGAAAACCTGAAATTTATTGAACACGCTTAGACATTTTTTCTACACCACATTTTTGCCCCTTCATATTTTTCTTTTTCTTTTGATACTTAATGTTTTGTGACAATTTATAAAGCACTCTTGTTTCCAAAAAATAAAAAATAAAAAAATAGTTCTGAGTAACAAAAAAAAATTCTTATTTTGATTAAGCTGAGAAAAATGGGAAATATTGTTTGTTGTTGCTGTTGCTGTCGCTACTGTTATTGGTACTGAACTTCCATTTGAAAAGAAATGTTTCTTTTTTTTTTTTCTTAGTTTTTTTTTTGTGTGTGCTGAAATGCTCAGGTGCTCAAGGTTTTTTTCTGTTAATCGTGGGTGGAAAATTTCATTTTACTGGATCAGTTTAGGAGAAGCAGAAAAGGACACATAATTATGCTGAATCTGAAAAATTGTGCCGAAATTCAGGATTCTGTAATTACTGACTGCTGCATTATGGAGTTGCTGTTGGCTCTGACTGTAACCAGCAGTTTGCAACCAGCAGTTTTCTGTGACGGATTTAAGGACCGGTGCTGGTGTCGCTGGTTTTACTATCATCATTGTTGTTGTTATTTGGCATATTTGTAAAAGTGAAATAAGAAGAGTAAGAGAAAAAAAAAAAGCAAGTAATGGAACGGTATAGAAATGAAAAGCAATAAATGGATATATTTTGAGAGTGCGAGGAGAAATCTTGGAAGAAGTAATGAAAACATGGAGGAGACATTTTTAATTATGCTTTCTATATGCAGACTTCTTTCAGTTACAAAAAATGAAACTACCAAATAAAAGAAAAAGGAAAAAATTTAGTTCTGTCACAATGAAAAGAATATTTATTGTCATAGTACTCGATTTGGTTGTGATACTGAAGAGGAGAACGGCGAGTATGACGATAACGATGATGATGATGAAAACGACGACGACAGTGACTGCAGTGACGATGACGAGAAGAAGACTGGGAAGATGGAGGAACATAAAATTGAACAGAGAATATCTGAAATGGTAGTGCCTGCCTCCAATATGTATGGCTGTCAACTTTCAACAGTACTTTTGCTAAGCTATTTTTTTCCACAGTTCTGATTTTCAGTATCTACTTTTGAGAATACCAAACACAAAATCTTTTCAGTTGTTTATTTTTTGGGTGGTTTTTATAGTATTCTGCAAATTTTTTCCGACGTCAACAGTACAACTTGTTGTATCCTGTATTTTTCTATTTTTTTTTTCTTTTGTCGTGCTTTATTTTTTTTCTTGTACCTCTCCTCTTTTTTTCTCCGTTGCCATCATTATAGCCATTTTTTGAAGATCGCAATTGACATTTCTACGCGAGCAGCTATGAAGAGAGGCTAAAAACGGAAAAAAAAGGCAAAGAAAAGGAAAAATAGAGGAGTTAGGAAATTCTCCATCGTTTTTTTTTTCCCCCCGTCAGTATTATTATTCTTTTTTGCTTCACTTCCTTATGGATTTTTCTTTGGTTAAATAATTTTTTTTGTCGTGCTTTTTAAACTGTTGTTTTGCTGTTGCCGTGGTCGCTGCTGCTGCTGCTAAAATAACCGCTGTTAAAGACTTTTTGTGACGACAGATGGAAAAATTGTTATATAGAAATGTTAAAACGGGCAAAAAAGGCCATTGAGATACTGATGGATAACATTTTTCAGGATAATTATCCTGGCACCGATATGGTCTGTTGCTGCTGTTGTTGCTGTCGTTGCTGTTGCTGTATGGCACCGCTGGATTTCAAAACCGTCTAAAAAAACCTATGCATAATTGGTGCTTTTTTGGAAATGGCCTAGTTGCAGTGTCCTATGGCTTAGCTTGCAGCCTCTCTCAAATGTTCTGCTGGCAAACTGTTCTGATGCCGATATTCAAGGAAAACAAAGAAAAAGTTTGTTGAACCTGATTTACTGGTGAATTCATCAGAAAAGAAAACTATGCAACGGACGATTGAGTTGAAGGCAGAGAGAGGTTGAGATAGAGTAGAGGAAGAAAAATTGGCATAGAGAGAAGGAGAGGGGAAAATAAGGGGACAGAGAGGACAGAAAGGAATACGGATAGGGTATTTGATAGATATGGTTGTTATAACGATTTCTACGAAAAAAAATAGGCAAAGTAATAGGCAAAGTTTTTTTTT